GTCCCCTCCGCCCCAGCACCTCCAGCCCGCGCTGGGGGCCAAAGCCCAGGCTCTCTTACACCATACGTCCCATCCCGTCCCCCACTTTAATCTTCTCTGAAGCTTTCCCACTGCCCTTGGAAAGAGATCTGAGTGCTCAGAGGAGCCGTCCCTTCTCCAGCACAAGCCTTGGCTCAGAGTCCTCTTTTCTACCATGCTTCAGTCAAAAAGGCTTCCAGAAACTTCCAGGAACCAGCGCCTTTGCACAACCATTCTTGTATTCTGGAGCATGCTTTCCAAGCTCCTCACCTCCAGCTCTGCGTCCGTCGCCTCCTGCATGAATGACACCAGTATACGCACTGTGTGTACTGCCCGCAGGGCTGCCCGCCTCGGCACTGGGGACAGACATTTGGGGCTACGTCATTCTCTGCTGGGGGTGGCCCCGTGCTGTCCAGGACGTCCTATAGCAGGAGGCTGCTCAGTGGCACCCTGGCTTCCACCCTTCCCAGTCATGACCCTATGTGGCCACCCGTGTGACATGACAGAAGTTTCCAGAAGTGCATCTGCCCACCTCCCCACCTCCCCTCTCACAAATATCTCCTCTAGAGGGGAATGAGACCTATGCAGTGAGAGCCACCGTGGGCATCGGTCGCCACATGTCTATTGAAGGGACTGTGCTTTCTAGACCTCTGCTCCCCACGACGTGGGCTTTGCCGCGGGACACAGGCGCTGCTTTCATTCCAGCAGTACCTGGCCAGAGCACAACATGGCAGTTGTTATTTTGCAAACAATGCCTTGGTTGGGCAAATTGCTGGCTTTATCCCCCCAGGTGGAACTTGGCTTAGGACAAGACTCCCTGAGCCCTGTGTGGGGGTGCGTGGTCTTGGGGAACGTGGTCAGCGCTGCCCAGGTCAGCTGTGCCTGGGCCCTATGTGTGAGCCAGCCCTGGGCCATAGGCCGCTATCTCCCTGCCCCCTTGGTTTCAGCAAACTCTCAGCCAACTCCAGAGCTGCTGTCCAGGGTCAAGGCACAAGGGGGGGTGACGCCAATGTGGCACAATGAGGGCCCTGGTGGGGGCATGCAGGAACACAGAAGGGCCACCTGCCTCAGCGATGGCAGGAGGGGTGGGAGGGCAGGCTTCAGGGAGGCTGGGCAGCTGTCTGGGGAAGGGGTGACCTTGGTGGGCTGTGGGCAGAGTAGACACTGGGCAGGGCGGGACATGTGGACGGCTGGGGTTCTGGTCCCAAAGAATCCACATGCGGGGAGGGAGGCACTCTTGGAGCAAAACAAGGCATCACCATGAGATCTAGTGAGGATGTAAAATAAAGCTGACTGTGTCGCCCAGGCCCACAAGTCCCCGCGCCCCTGCTGACACTCGCCAGTGGGTCCCCACGCACCCTGCTCCGACAAAGCCACTTGGAATCCATGGTTTAAGCAATGATTAAAGTGTTGTCTTTTGGATGTCAAAGAAAATACTGACATAAAGCCATCTTAGGAAAAAAAATCTTTTCCCTGAACAACAATAATGCCATTATGCTAAATGAATAAGGTCTTATTTAGGTCAGGAGCCCTCCTGTGGCGGCCAAATTGACATAATCCTCCTCACTGAAGAGAAATGAGTCCTCTAGCAACACTGCCCAGCCCGGGCTGTCCTGCCCTGGAGTGGGGAGGGCTGGGGACAGGGATCCCTGCAGGGGCTTCATGGCGGGGGCGGGGAGAAGGCGAGCAGGGCACGGGCACCTCGCTGCAGGGGGCTGGGAGCAGGGCAGAGCCCTGCTGGCGTCATCTTTGCCTCTTTGCTTGTCACGAAGAATCTGGAGTGCAGAGGCTGTGGGCACACGGGTCCCACGCAGGTGCTGGGGCCACAGGGGCCCTGCAGCCTCGGTCACCCCTTCTCCCTTTCCTGGCTCCTCCTGTCTTCTCAGCTGCAGCGTCCCCTCCTTCAGGTCTCCCAGTCCCCAGTGAAGTAAGGGGCTCTTGGGCAGGATTCCCACAGCCCCCCAGGGGTGCTCTTAGTAGAGCCCCCTTAGCCCTGCTGTCCACCAGGCACGGTCCCTCCAGGGGACAGACACCCAGCTCAAACGTCACATGTGATGGGCTCATGTGACTGAAAAGGGTACCCCACAGGCTGATCTAGGGGCTCGAGAGCTGTCAGGAGCCCTCTGTCCACGTCACGGACAGGTATTCCCCCGTGGCTGGCAGGACAGGCTCTGGCAGCCAACGCTCAGATCCAGCCTGGAGGAAGGACAGTTTTCCCCCCGGCTCCAGCAGAAAACTGACTGTTCAGCCTGGGTCCCATCTCCTCCTTGGGACAATCCCAATGGCCATGCCTGGGTCAGGGCCCACTGAGGGACAGCCCACCATGCCACATGGACTCTGGGCCTGAGGGAGGGGCTCAGCACTGGAATTCACACTACACGTGGCACCCACATCACACTCTCTGCCAGATGCCAGTTTTAACTGATTAGAAGCTATGAAATTAGTTCATTCTTGGGGGGGAAAAATAAGAACAGCTTTTCCAACTAGCTATTTGCCTCAAGTAAGGATTCCACCTAAAACATTTCCTTGTTGTGCTGCTAAACACCATTTCCATTGTGGATATAAACCTTCTTAATAGCCCTGGCCTCAGACTGACAATACACACACTGACAGGCATGTGCCTACAGAAGGAAGACAAAAATCCAGAAATTTCTTCCTGTAGCTAAGCACACAGAGAGGGTAAACAAACACACTGAGTTGATTAGCAAATAAGAGTTGTCAGATTTGGACTTCAGGATTAGAACTGTGTCCAGATTTAAAAGCGCGGGGCGATGTGAAGCAGTCACATACATTGCATTTCCTGTGATGTCTCAGTCATTTCCAGTTATGCGCGTATTTATAAAAAAGTCATATTTCAATAAATATTACATTCAAGAAAACCCCCAAAGCTACCAGCAAGGCAGCTAAGGCAGGCATGCGTAGGACCAGCGACTGAGGAGGAGTTCAAACAGGACAGCACCAGCGGGCACTCCCCAAGTGAGGATGGGCTCAAAAAAACAGGAGCTTGCAATGCAGTCATCATAAAATAATCCTGGCTCACCTGGAAATGTCCTTCTTTTCTGGTTGATGAAAAATTTTTCAGTGGCTATCTATAAAACTTTTAAAATGCATGTGGTCGTATCAGAGTCTTCTGTAAAGAGAAGACTATATAGGGTGCTTAGAGAGAAAAGAATTACAGGTATAGTGAGATTTAATAACTGCATAAGTAAATATCTTGATTGTAAAATTGTCAAAGATAAATTCTTAAACCTGTGGACTAGCACACATTTAAAAAAAAAAAAATTTCACATTGCCATTCTGGGTAGCAAAATCTTCATCACCAAGGAGATCTGGCTAGTGCTACAGCTTGGAAACGAAACAGCATGTGCTTGGTAATTCTACTAATTACAGCTGAGCTCCAGTGACATTAATTTACTGATAACCTCATAAAGTTGTGTTTGTTCTTCCAAGATATAACATTAGCCAGACCCCTCAGAATAATGTTAAGATTACAGGACTTTGGACTTTCAGAAGAACATGAATTGTTTTCTTGGTAAACAAGGAAGGTCTTTATATGTGATCCAGACATAGTGTTTTATTTACATAAGCTTTAGAGGGTGCAGCCTCTGGACACCAGTAAAGAACATTTATTTATTTGTTTATCTGTTTTTTTTTTAAAAAAATTACACAACCCAGCTCCCCGCCTTGCTAACAGAGAAATGTTTGTTTCTTAGGAAACGAAAACAGTAAAGGCTTTGTAAAGCCACACGGACCCTAACACAACAGAGGAGAATAAAATTATTATAAGATTTTGCTTTTCACATAACTTTAGTCAACACTTAGGTTATATTCTCTTGAAGCCGACCGAGGCTTTTATGCAGCTCTGATGCTCCTTAGAGAGGTTTATAAATAGGGGCCAGGAACCTCGTGGTTCTGGTAAAGCCCTCTGCCCCTCTCCTAGGTGTGCCTGGGCAACCCCCACCGACAAGCCACCTTGCCATGAGCTGCTTCCCCAGCTGCAAAAACAGTGCTGCTGGTCCCCCTTCACCAGGGCCAGCACCCAGAGGGACCTGCGCAGCAGGTGTCTCTGACCAACACCTCCCTCTTGGGGAAAGGTCACAAGTACCACAAATCACTGCAGGGGTCCTCCGCCGGCACTGGGTTCTCCCACTCATGTAACCTATTTAGTTTTCATTAAAAGGTAGCTAAATACACGGAATAGCTAAAACAGTCTAGAAACGGTCTCGACTTTGCATTTTATGAAGATATCACAGACAATGGAAGTGAAGAGGACAATTTCTTGCTAAATCCGCTGCAGGTTACTGCTTCTCTACTGGGTTGTTTATCATCTCGCTCAAAGCGGAAAGCCGAGCGTGTTCTCTCCGCTTACCAAGGGCCCCCGTCCCCCTTTAAATTTCTACTAGCCAGAAGTGCCAAGTTAACAAGCAAGCAAACAAACCAAAAAGCTGTGGAAACGTCCCTGAAAAGGAAGACAGCTGGCCTCATTTCTGCAAAGGACATCATTTACAAATAAGCAATGCTGCATGCGACAAAGAGTTTTTTCAATTTTAGCTCATTTCCAGGTCACTAGACTATGGTTCTGATTCCCGAATACTGTACTAAATCTGCAAGGTGGCTGCTTCAGATTTATCTAACGTGATAGCCCAAGGAAGCCTGAGCCGGCAGAAGAGGTGCGGGGCAGGCGGACCCGCGCCTTTCGGAACGCCTGGCTCTCCTGACGTCCCCAAAACGGTCCATTTTCCCGACAGCTGGCGCAGCCCCGTGCGAACCCCCGCCTGCCCTGAGCCGCGGGACCTCCTGCCCGGAGCCGGGGCCTCGGCTGAGCGGCCGTGTGGACCCCTCCTTGCCGCTGACCCCGCACTGCGAGGCGGCCGCTCGCGCTCAAGGGCAGGGGCCCGTGCGCTCGCGGCGCCCGCCCTCCACCGCCCTCCCCTCGAGGACGCCAGGCGGGGAGCCGGAGCTCATCGGGGACCCCTACTCACCCAGGAGCAGCCAGAGGCCGCAACGCGGGAAGCCGCGCAGGCCCCGGGCCATGGCGCGCAGCCGAGCCGAGCCGAGTCCGTCCGCAGCGCGCCCCGCCGAGGACTAAGCCTGCCGCGGCGCCCGCCCGAGGAGACGCGCCCGGGGGCGGGGACGGGCGGGAGGCGGCGGCCGCGCCCGGCCCACTGTGGCCGTACGGGCGGGTCGCGTGGGTCCGGGGCTGGGCAGACACCGGCCGGCCCGGGGTGCTCGGGGGCGGGAAGACGCTGGGGTTGCGCCGCGCGGAGGGAGGTCTGCGGACCCCTCCGGGGGCGGCACCCTGGGATCCGGGAGCAGCCTCCTGAAATGTTCACCGAACAAGTCTCCTAGACAACTCGGAGCCGGCGCCACCGCCGTCGGTCTCGATCTGAGCACCTTCCTCTCCTAGTGGCCTGGGTGTGGCCACGCCTGCCTCAAGTTCCGCATCTACCTCTCCGCCCAGGTGCAGAGCCTGGAGGAGTCCGTGGAGGCAAACCCAGCCGCTCGCCTAGGGAGACCCATAGTAATATATAAGGACACCCACGGACGAGGAACTAGAATGCCGACATCTGCAGGATGAGTGGCGCGGCAGAGTCGGAGGACAGCAGGGCAGGTATGCACGAAGGCCAGAGGGCTGGAGCAGGGCTCCTTTGAAGGACTGAAGGTGGCCTCGGTGGACTTGCTAAGGATGGGTGGCGAGAGGTGAGAAGAGGCCCACAGGAGGCTATGAGCCTCGGAGTCTTGACCCTGAACTTAAAGGCAAGGGGCTTGTAAGTAGAAGAGGACATACTTGCCTTGGGGCGTGGTCACCTGACAACTGCAAGGAGAGCTGATGGGGGTGGGGGGTGGATGTATTAGTTTATGTAAAGTGATGAGAGAAAGGCTCCCTGGAGTGACACGAGATAGCTGGGGAAGCCTAGCGGGCGTGGAGGGGGAGCAGCTTAAAGGAGGCAGGAGCCTGACCTGGGCTCTCCTGGCTGGATTTCACCTTGCAGTAGTGGTTCCTTCTTGTAACGTCCTGTCTCAAGAACTCCTAGTAACCGAGTAAATTTATGTTCATGCTAAGGAATACACCATTGCCCTTGGAAGGAGAATCGACACCCTCGTGCAGTGCCCATGGCTATCTCCTTAGTGGCAAAAGGTTCATACGTGGTGCAGCACTGGGCACACAATATTGCTGAATGGCCAACATTTCCTCACATGAACAGGAATGAAAGGGGACAGCCTGTGGCTGAGAGGCTGCTGCCACCTGCTGTAAGATCAGAGAAGGGGTGGCGGCTGACAGCAAGGTGGTCATTCATCCCTTCTTTTGAACACAGCTGATAGGGCACTCAGCCAGCATGCCTACCACCTGGGGGGGCACTGTGTCCTCAGACTGAGGGGTCTGGTAAGACGGCAGGGGAGGGCACATATTCTCTTGATTAGCCCCCCTTCTTGAACCCTAGGAAGACAAACCCCGGCAAGTAGCCTGGCTTCCCCACTTCATTCAACGGACATTTGAGTCCTTACTATGTGCTAGGTAAACAATCAAGCCCTGCCCTTCAACTGGTGAATCTAGTGGGTGACCTCTAAAACTATCAATGATGACATGAGTGCTACAATACAGGAACCATATGGAACAAGGGACACCTGCCTCAGCTGCAGTGTAAGACAAAGAAAGATTCTGGACAAAATGCAGCCCTAGACAGTCTTGAGGCTGGGCGGGAGACAACTGCACAAGGGGACGGCAGACAGAGCACAGGTCCGGTGGCCTGAGGCTGTGCCGCGTAAGAATGGCATGGCTGAGGAAGGAGTTGGTGCCAGTGCAGCCCTGGGACAGGCGCACTGTGAATCCTGCACTGGGTGACAGTGAGTCACCAGTGAGGGAGAATCTGCATGTCTCTGTAGCTGTCACTGCTGCTCCACACTCAGGTCCCCACTGTTGGCATGCGTGTTCCTACAGCTGGCACCTGGGACTCCTTTCAGGAATCCTTTCCAATATTTTCTCTTTGAAGCTTAACTGCTGGAGGAGGCAAAGTCAGGGTGGGGAAGCCACTCCTCTCCATTTTCTCACACAACCTCTAACAGACACATGTTCCTAATAAGACAAAGCATATTTCTCAAGTTCACATGCTTTTGGAAGACCACAGTTCTCTGAAGAATGCTGAAGTGGGGGCATAACACCCTGTGGCACATTCTCTCCTAATGATTTTCACTTCTGCATATCTTGGGTCTGGATAAGAGATTTCTTAGTAACTACTATGGGTGTCCCCTTCTTTGTCCCTACAGTGATACATATCACAGTAGTTGACTTTAGCCCTGGATAGTTTTTTTGTGATTTGTGTTGTGTTTCCGACTGGTAAGAGGTAGCGTGGATAATCAGTCCTCTTCCGGGACACCTTCATCTAGATGGACATTAGGTTAAACAACAGAAGAGGTGAGGAAATGGCCAAGTGCTTCACTGCATACACTGCACACTTCAGTGCATACATTGCTTCACCGCAATCTAGATAGGTCAACAAGACCTGATCAACACAAATTCACAATTAACATAAAACTTCTGCTTCCAGCCATGATGAAGTAACAGGACTGGATTTACTTCCTGCCTTAAACTAAAAAAACAAAAACTGTACAAAATGTATGAAACGACAGTTGTCACACTGGACCACAGACAGTTCCAGGATCCCTGAGAACAGGGAGACAAATCAGGTGATCCCCAGGACTGCTCACTACCTGGGTTTCTAGACCACAGGCAGGGAAAAGCCACCCAGAGTCAGGGAAGCCAGAGAGCTAGAGTTGGCAGGGCACAGGACTAGAGAGGAGAGAGCTGCACAGAGAACATGCTCAGGAGATCTGCAGAGGGTCCCCTTCAGTCTCACGCACACACATAACATACGGATACTACCTGAGGCAGGGAAAAGAACCAAAGAGCTCACAACCATCTGGGAATAGTTCCAGTTCCCACCAACTATAGAGGAAAAACCTGGAAATACACAGACCATCAGAGAGAATAATTAGAAAGGTAATGCCTCAGTAGTTGGGCAAAATTATAAACGCTGTTCTGGTGCTACCTAACAAAACTTAAAAGCAAGAACTAACAAGAGCAAAGGATTTCCAAGTAGCCACTACATTCCAGAACAGACTTTAAAAAATAAACGATGAAAGCACCAGAGAACCATGAGACAACTTCAAGTGGCCTAATATGGGGTTTGTAATTGGGGTTTGTAATTGGAGTTCTGGAGAAAGGGGGACAGGTAATATGTGAAGAACTATGTGAAACAGATTCTATGAACCTATAGACTCAAGAACACCAGCAAACCCCAAGCATAAGGATCATGAAGAAAAATACGCTAAGGCACATCACCATCAAATTGCTTAAGCCAATAATAAACAGAAAACCTTAAAGGCAGACAGAGAAAAAAGACATTATGTACAGAAGAATGCAGATAAGGGTGACAAAAAGAGTTCTCACAGAAAACAATGCAAACCAGAAAACATCTTTTAGTACTGAAAGGAAAAAAGCATCAAATGTCCTAGAGACAGTTTTTCAATAATTTGCTGATAAGAGGGGAAGATTTTGCTGGGATTCTATCAGGCTGGCAATTTAGAGGCTAAACTTCAGTGGTTTGGAAGATGGTGTTTATAAGCAGTTAACAACTTAGTTCTGTGAGTTTTTAGATAGTACAATTGTTAGATAAACATTATGAAACGGATCTGGGGCACTTAGCTTCATCAAGCGTCAGGTTTTCAGACCCCTCAAGGGAGTCCTACTGTTAGAACCAGGGATCTGCAAGTAGCCGAGGAGAACAGTGGTTGCACATCTTCTTATTCCTCCAATACCCTCCCCAAATGAAACAAAACACAAGAAGTAAAAAGTAAATTCTACATAAAACTGTGTCCTCAGTATCATTTGGAGAAATTTAGGACTGAAAAGTAATTAAGACAAAAAGCCAATCAAATCCCACTGTACAACCTCACACTCCTGCCCTGCCCGCAGCCAGCCATAAGCTTAGTGGTGAGCAAAGGCAGACTGAGGAAAACCGTGAAGCAGACAGAAGAGGGGGGCTGGCGAGTGAAGGGGCCTAAAAATGATGTGGAACAATCTCCAGAAAGATGAAATATTAACACTCCAGATACGAAAGTTTAAAAAACTCCAATATCATAAAAATGAACAAGAGAAGAGTCCATCCAGAGCTACCGCAGAAAATCAGGAGATAAAATTTCACAGAGATAAACTGAAGAAACCCCCCCACCCTCTAGGAGACTACTACAAATGTGTAACATAACCATGCTGAGGGGGATCGGGAAAATAAAAGACACATCCTAAGTAAATTTAGAATACAGTACTTTGCATGCTATAAAGCTAAAGACAAAAGAACTGTATACAAATGCTGTATTTCAGTTAGTAAATCTGTTTCTCACAGTGCTATGGTTTAGCAACCCTGTAATGACTTTATGTACATACTGGGATTAAACAAATAAATGTATTGTGGATAAAATTGTGAGCCAGATTTCTCACTATTGGTGAAAGTAGAAATAACAAAGAGATAGAAATTCAAAGTATCAGTATGAACACAGATATATACTGCTCATGACTAGCTATAAACATAGAAATACAGGTGTCTATATGCATAGATTAATAGACATACACATATTTCTTAGCTATATCAACTGAGAGAGCCTAAGGCCAACCCCAACAGCAATGAGCACATCTACTGACCAGATCTTGGTGTTTTTTTTTTTTTTTTTCTGAGACAGAGTCTTGCTCTGTTGCCCAGACTAGAGTGCCGTGGCTCACAGTAACCTCAAACTCCTGGGCTCAAACAATCCTCTTGCTTCAGCTTCCTGAATAGCTGGGACATATCACTGCATCTGGCTAATTTTTTCTATTTTTAGTAGACAGGACCTCACTCTTGTTCAGGCTGGTCTCAAACTCCTGAGCTCAAGCGATCCTCCTGCCCCAGCATCCTAAAGTGCTGGGATTACAGGTGTGAGTCACTGTACCATACCCTTATTCTAAGAAATATTGAGGCAGGCTACAGACACACACAGAAGAGAAACAAAA